TCTCAAGGATACAAAAAAATGAGTCAACAAAGCATAGCTGCTACTGAAAATATAATTTCTAAACATGGCACTATTGATGTTGTAAAAAAAAAAAAAACCTGCATTGAATTCTCCATCTATATGTGATGAAAACATGCAAAATAGTGATGAACTAGAAATGGTTTTGTTGAAACAAACTACACGTGAGTAACAATGAAATAATTGGATGATGTTCTAGGAGTGAAAATGTTTGCAATCCTCTCTTAAATTTGTGAAACAAAAAATTGTTGTGAAACAAAAAAAAATGGTAGTACTTGAAAATCATTAAGGAGGGAAATGCATTTCTTTCAGTGTCCTCAGTATTTCACTAACTGTTACAAATCTGGGGAGAATTTCTTCAACCAAGGAAGACAAACTGGACAAAAACGCATTTGTAACTCCAAGACTGATATAATTGTAAGATTATTTTTAAAAAGTAAAGAATTTTTCCTGATTTCTTTATATTTGATTTATATATTTATCTATAAATACTTTATTTTATCAACTTAATCTACTTCATTGTAGTACTAATGTATAGATGACATTTAAAATTCTATAAATTCAGTTTTTACATAATATTTCACATGTTTATACATTATTATATGAGAAAACTGTATGTTGAATAACTTAAACATGAATCAAATAGTGGTTTTTTAAAATGTTAAACATTTTAAAATGCTGAACATTTTGTTATAAAATTCTAATGACCAAAGTAAGGGCTTGGTCCTGATCATATTGCTCTAATTATAATTGCTATACCATAAAAAACTGAAAGAGATACATGAGGTGATTTTATTATAAATATTGAGTATAGTGAGTTTTTCCCAAATGTATATGCAAACAAAAAAGGGGCAGGGCCACTGATGGCATTAACAGGCTTCCTGCACTCTTACTTTTGGACACCCCAGCCATGCCATGTGCATGTTAAAATACTACCACATCCCACAGCTGTCTACTTTGTGCATAATGATGAGTATATATACTGAGAAATGTGTCAAAAAAAACTTTATCCTTGTGTAAACACTACAAATTGTATTTCTATGAACTCTAGTATTACGTCCTTACACTCCTGTGCTCTGGGGTATTAACTAATCCTATGTTACAAATGTGAACAGCTACAGAATATTGGCCAATCCTAATATAGCAGTATTTATGTATCCAACTGTAGAAAAGCTTCAGGAAAAGTACTGGCATTAAACTTGTTTGCAGCACTGTTATAATCTTATTGGACCATGGTTATATATGCATCCTGTTTACTGAAATGTTGTTTTGCAGTGCATCACAACTATAACTCATGATGCTTGAGTTGAATCATAGTTGTAGGTGATTGACACAATGATACATTGCATTCTGTAAGTATTTAAACAAACATCTATTCATTTCATTCTGTCCTACCTTCTTATTTTTCCCTCTAGTTTCCAAGTCTTAGGTAACTTCGTTAGTCTTTCTGTATATGTACAATATCTAGTAGTCAAAATAATACTGGACAGGATTTTCAGAGGTTTACCATTTTGAAGACTTACTCATCAACATTGGCTAAAGAAGTTCTTATTCCATGCAAAGTGAATAGAACAAGCAAAGGTAACAGGTGAGGTCAAGTAGGGTGTGGAGAGTTAAAGTATGTGCTATTTTATGTTGCTCAATTAGGAGATATGAAGCAAGGCACTGAAAGAAATTAAGATAGACAGACACCAAAGGAAAGGAGTGTGGAAAGGTTTGGATGAGTAGCCTCAGGCTTCAATTTGGATAGGCTCCTCTTTAATCATTTTTTAAAGAGAAAAGGCAGGACTAAGTACACACTTCATATGGAAAACTCTAGTAGTTAAGTACAGATGAATGTCAAGGAACAAAATAAAAGGCAAAGAGATGAGTAACATTCACACTAGGCTTGGGTTAGCAATATGGATCTTTGTGCTTTTCATATCTAGGGTTAAAATTTGTAGAGATTGCAATATCTAAAGATCAAGGTCTCTAACCAGGGTAAACTGAATGCATTTTCTCTACTGTGCAACTTATTTTCAAAGAAAAAGAATTGAAATTATATTTAATTACTATTTTTATATCATCCTCCAAACTTGTGAATGTTTGCTGTGCATTTTATAATATACACTGTAAACTTATAAATGAGGTAAACTGAAGGTGAAAGATCAAAAGCATGTAGCAGAGTAAGTCAAGCAAAATAAAAGCTCAGAGACTAGACTCTTCTGGGTAAGAATAACAAACATGTTTCTTAAGATGGTGATTTCACTGATGAAGAAATATGGATAGAAATTAAAATATTCAGGACACTAAGTCATCAGTGTTTGGTGGTTATTTGGACATTATGAGTAGAATTACCAAGTATTTGCATATAAATATATCTACATGAATTCAGAAAAAAGTCTAGAAGTTAATCTAGGGATGTGTAGTGAGAGAGTAAAGCAGCTTGGTAAAAGAATTCTATCAGTGGAAGGCAGAGCTATTCTAGTAGCAAATTAAAAGCAGATGGGAAAAGATCATGAAAAGCTTTCTGCTATAAATCAAGAGTACTTTAAAATATATTAAAACAAGAGAAAATACTCTTGAACTATAACATAAAGCATTTGGGTTAACTAACTGAAAGAACTTTGTTAGTAGCAATAGTTTAAAACTATGTATTAATAAAGAAGGTCTTCATTTCTCTATGCTAAAATTTAATGGTTCATTCTGTGTCCATGCAGAGAACACACTAAAACTTCTTTTGCTTGATGTTTTTCTCAGCTGTCAAAAAATTTTCATGTTGGGTTTAATACCCCTTACACCAGTATCTTTCTCACTATGGCTTATCACTCACGAGCATCTTAATTGATTTTTTGATATTTCAGGATTATGTACTCTAAGAAGCAGAAGATTATAAATACTTAGAACATGTTCTCATTGTTGCAAACTAGATGATTGGAGAGTTTATAAAAATCACACATGTCTTTGATTAAGTCATTTAAAAAGTACTGTAAGAATTAAGAAAGGTTTCTAAGCAATATTAAATACTTTTGTATCATCAAGATGGAAACTATACATTAAAACTGTTTGTGACTATTGTTTACCTCTAGCATGATTCAGTCCTAATCAATATAGTCACACACGCAAATGACATTTCCCAGTGGTTTGCTCATATACATGCTAAAATTCTTACTACCTAGGATAGTTTCATTAGAAAACATAAGTAAAATCTTCATCTTCTGGAGGTAACTGTTAAACTTGATGTTGCGTTGAATAAAATAAGAGTTGAAGCCTGCTTTCAATCTTATCTTTAACAAATCAATACAGATAACTTACTCCAAGCAGAGTTGCAACTTTTGGAGGCAGAGAAGTCCAAACTTGAGGAGATAAGATAGAAAGAATAAGTAAAGCAAGCTATAAAAAAAAAAAAAAAACCCTAACTCCTGTTTCATACCAGTCACCAGAGTGAGCATTGGGTAAATTACTGTGAGCCATTCAATCAGGATGACATAAGCCTATAAGGACTATATGATAGCAATAAAGATGTATCTTTATATTGCTCAAACTCCACTGAGAACATGGTTTTCTTATACCTTGCTTATATTTGAAACAAGTCAAGGATATGGAAATTCTTTTCAAATAATACTAAAAATACTCTTTAGTAAGAGAACAAATATAAAGTAAATACCTGGGGGTCAGAGTTCCTCAATGCTGTTATCTCTAGCATTAAGTAAGAGTTGTTATCAGTATTCAGCAAATAAATTTGTATTCAGTTAAGTATGAGTTGTTATTAAATATACTTACTTGAGGGTCTTACAATGTAGGAAACAGGTAACATGAATTTTGCAGGAAGTTTATTAATGAGATAATAAAAGATATGCAGGTATAGCTTCTTGTGAACAAAACTATATATTCATTATCTTTCATCTTCACAAACTCACTGTTTGAATGAAAATACATGAATGCTAAAAGACAAAATAGTAGGACCAAGGTGACACAAACTCCAAACAGCATAGCTGGAATTTGAACTTGAGTTTGAATGCTCAAAGATCATTCTTGGATCCTTTATGAAATAATTTATTTTGTACATATCATTCATACTGTGAAGGCATTTATTTTCAGAGGTGAAAGCACTAAACTGATACATATTAACAGCTACTACATTTAAGGAGATCAAAGGCTGATGAGCACTAACAGTATACATACATATAAAGAGAGTTATATTAAATAAATATCCATATAAAAGTACATAAATTTTAAGTCTGAATCAAAAGAGAGAAAGAGGTCTATGACTGTTTTATGGAATTTGAGAAGTTTATCTTCCTTCCTTTGTAAATTGCAGGGTTCCCCTTTACCAGAGTACAGTGTATATATAGCGTTGAGTATAAAAACATAGATTTCTGAACAGTGGGGCATGGAGAAGCTAGCTTCTTCTCGGGTCAGTATGGTATTTCTATGGTATGAACTTGTGTTTTTAATATGTTGATATATCAGGAACTGTGTTGGCACAGATTTTGCAAGGAACAAATGCCAAGCAAGTATTTGGCATGCAAGAATTGGAGCAGTCAGATTTCTTTTGTGGATAAAAGAGAAAGGAACAGGAGTAGGCAGAAAGTGTTATCAGATCACAATTTGGATCAGATACCTGTGGGGACAGAAGACAGGAGGTATGTCTAGGAAGGACCTCAGATCAACACTCAATTCTGAGATTCTCAGCCAGGACAAAGAAAATTTTTATCACCAAACCTGGCCTCACACTTAGCAATTTAAGGGGCAGTAGGGCAAGCATGGCCCAAGTTCACAGGGGCACCAGTTGGAGTGTTGGACAATTCTCCAGGCCACATGTTCTCTGGAAGGAAATCTGAGCTATGTGTTTCCGTAGCTGCCCGTCTAAACCCACATACAAAAAAAACCATGGAAACTTTCCTTTATACTATCTCTGATATTAGTTCTGCTAATAAGAAATGAATAGGCTGGCAAAATGATCTATCTACTCATCTAAGACCAGTCCCCTCAACCTACAATTATACCCATAGCATATTTTAGCTATGAAAAGAATACCAAATTTGTCCTTTTGAAACAGTGCAACTATTTAATGGAAACCAAAGCTTCCTTGATGGCAAAATTGAATATTATCAGCATAAAGAAAGATTATAAAAGAATAAACAAAAGAAAATAAATGCCATAGTGAGCTAATACTCACTGATCAAGGAGCTACATAGTAGTATTTTATTAACTGATGCATATCTTAAGGAATTACGTTGTTCAGCCCTAAACTAGGTCTGTCTGATATCTTATTACAGATTCTTATATGAAATAGCAAAGCTTCATTGATTGCCTATTGGTTACAGAGTATTTTTACATAGATCTCTGAATTCAATAAATTATAAGATGATTTTTCATTCTCGATACTAATAAAAATAACCATCTACATTTGCAGAACTTTTCAGTTTAACCTATATATTCTAGTACATCATTTTCAATATATGAATTAGTCAATTAAGATTTATTCATATTATGCTTGTATGAAAAATTTTATTAAACACTCTATGTCTGATAATACACCCGAAATTTTACAGTGAATGTCATATATAACCAGTAGAGCAGTTTCGTGAAATACCATTATTCTTCCAATTTCACAATTGAGGAAACTGATAATCAAATTAAATGAAGCAAATAAGGTTACATGACTACCAAAGAAGGAAATTAGAAATGTATCAAGGTTGAATATGAGGGATGATGAAAACATACAGTGAATGTTTAGGTTAAAAAACAACAACAAAACCTTCCTACAGTAAAATACACATTGCTGTGAATCCCCCTCAAGCCCTTTTCCTCACCAAACACACTTATCCAGTTCTTCTTCCCACTTTCGTAAGAAGTTCTGGAAATCTTTTTTTTTTTTCATGTCTTTATTTGTGATGTTATGGCTGCCTCAGCATTCTAAATCAGTTCAAGAGTTTAATTCTCATGATCATTTAGACCTTAGAAAAGAACCAAAGGTCTCAATGTGATGCCACATTCCTTAAATAAGGTGGATGAGGACACACTGTAATGTTTCTATTTGACAGAAATTGCCCTAAAACAGTGATGACAAACCATTTAGAGACAAATATCTAAACTGTAGCCCAAAACCCATTTACTTATCACAAATGGCCAAGTAAATGACTGCAATTAAACCTAAATATTGAGGGTTGAGTTTAGAAAAGACAACTCATAATTAACATCTTTTGTCTTAAAAGAAAAACAAATAACACACATGCCATAGGTTTGCCACCACTCCGGCATTTTTAATTAAGGATATGGAGGTAGTCTTGCAAATACATTGCAAAAGAAGACTCCCAGAACTATGTCAGAAAGTGCTAAAAATATGTTCTAACTGTGCTCTAAAGTGGAGGGAATATTTTGATAGGGAGTAATAACAATGTGTCTTTTATTATAATTTTTTTTAATTTAAGCATTAACCATATTTGTTGACTACACCTCATAAATACGAAGATAGAAGATTTAAAGCCAATATTTCTTCAAATTAAGTGGTAGCTAACTGAAAAGTCTAGTAAATAATACATTTCAAGTTATTTCTTCAAGAAATTTCATATTTAAGGAATTCACAGACAGTAGTACTAAATGCTTTACTTTTCTAAAGGACTCAATAATATTTGTTGTATTAATGACCTAGTGAAGGAAGGGATTAAATGAATTCATGACTATGGTAACTCTGTAAAATCAATGTTATATCAAAAAACATTGGCCTCAACCTGTAGGTTATCTCAAACAAAAGCAAAGGAAATCCATGAGATAAATGGAGAAATTGGCGGCATTTAATTAACCAGATAATCTGGTATATATATATATATATATATATATATATATATATATATCACAAAACCAATAGTCTAGAATCTCTTGTGCCATCATAGATATGTGCACTATTCAGAGAAATGCATAATTTGCTCATTATAAAACAGTATGTAAATTACTTAGCCAAAATCCAGACCAAATCTGTCTGAACACTTTTCTGCTGCACAATAGTACTAAATTTCTGTAGGGATGAATTCTTAGCCTCTACATATAGTAGCAATCCAACGCTTACAATGAACCATTTAGAAAATAGTATAGAACTTTTAATCAGAAAATAATGTGACATTATCAAAATAGCTATCATGTTTAAGTCTAGCACATCATCACAATTCTAATATTCCAATAATAAAAGATAACGTACAAAAAATCCATGATTTTGTAATTTCAATCTGGGAAAATATTATTTGAATCTATAAGAAAGTTATCACAATCTTGTTTCAGTACAAAATATTAAATACCATCTTAAATACTGCACCATGATACGTTTGGTAACATAACTCTAAAGTATGTACCAGAATTCACACTCAAAATGAAGAGCTGTAAAACTTAAACATGAACTACTTGTTCTCATATACAAACTTTGTTCCATTGAAGTTTGATTCAGTACATTGATTGACTTTAATTCAATAAATATTTATTGAACACTTACTACATAAAATCTATTGTCAACTAGTCTATGGGAGAAAAGGTTCAAAGATTAATACAACATATTAAGAAACTTTGAAGTTTTTATAGGAGTAAAGAAATGCCAACTACAAATGAAAACAAGGAAATGCAAAGCTTGAAACATACCAGAACACCAGTACACACGTACTATGGCACTAAATAGCCTCCACTAATATGAGATATTAATTCTAACTACAGAAAAATATGGCATGTTTGAGGAATTCAAGAATAACTAGTAGCACCAGAATCTGTATTAGTTGCATAATATATAGCATAGCAACTCCAAACTTTTAGGGGATTCAAAAACTTGTCATGTTATTGATTTCTGTCACATATCAAGGAATAGATTAGTTAGATGTCTCTGATTCAAAAAGTTTTTCACAAGATTCTCTTAAAAGCTGCATCTGTGCTGCAGTGTCTTCTAAAGGCTTTACTAAAGACCTGCTTCTCTATTACTCACATAGTGGCTGGCGAGATCAGTTTTTCTCAAGCATTGGCTGAAACCTTCCATCTTCATTGACAGCTGGTATAAGGTTTCCCTTGGTTCTTGGTCATCAGGGCCTGAAGGTATCATAAAGAAAGAAAAGATAGTGAATACTATAGAAGTCACAGTCTCTGTAGTCCAGTCCCAAGTGTGGTAGTCATCCTGTCTTAGCCACAAATTTTCAGACACTCACAACTTCAGGAGGACAGGTTTATTTTGGCTAATAGTTTCAGAGGTTCTATTCATAATTGCCTGGCTCCAAAGTAGAAAAGGAGTGGTGGAAGAAAATCTATTTCACACATACTATCCAATAAGAACAGAAAAGAAAAGGAGCTGGCAACAAGAATACAACCTTCTGGGTTATGCCCCCACTCAAGTATCTTCTAACAGTACATTCATCTATGAATTTATCAATGGCCTATGCCACTAGTGAGTATAGCACCATGATCACTTTCCAATCACTTTCCAAAAGCCACATCTCTGAACACATGAGTCTTCTGGGGGAATTTTTTAGATATAACCCATAAAACATCCCTTTTGCTATGTTATGGTCATTAAAAATGAGTCCTTAGGGCCAGCTGATACTCAAAGACAGTCAAACACTGCATAACTACCAAGAGAGGAGATTACTGAGGTATGTCAGAAGCCTCAACCTCAAGCTTTCCTTAAAAGGATGGTAGAATTTCACTTTTAAAGAATGCAAAATGAGGCAGCTTTTAGGAAATGGTTGAGCACATATGCAGAGGTAAGGAAGCAGAGATTTGCTAGAGAAATGTAAGTGTTACCTTAGCTTGTTGGGAACTTGAATGCATGATGAGTTTTAGAAAACAAGTCTTTGAAGTAGGTCAGGGCTAAATAGTATCATGCTGACAAGTTAGAGATTTGTTATATTTTGGGAATTGTTAGCTTTTTAAACTCATATCAGAACAGTATCAGAAATATGCTTCAAGGAAATAAATCTGAACGTCATCTGAAAAATAGACTTGAAGTGGAAGACTTTGTGATAGCTAAGAATCCTTGAGGGAGCTATCCTCACAGACAAACATCTAGCTACCATTAAGATCCAAGCTTCAGCAGCAGCACTGGGAGGAAAAAAGGAGGAGCACAGAAATAGCATACCTTATGCCTCACTGCATGTTCTTATAAATGAAATTTCTTTAACTTGTGATTCTCAAAACACCTAATATTATATGGTTTTTCAAAGGTTTTTCAGTTTCTATTATTCTTTCCCCTAACTCTTTCATGCCCTGCTTCAGGGCAACTGTTACCTATTGAATGTCACGCTAGCAAAAACATTTGATCTGAACCTTGCCCATTTGCCCCAGCTGCCTCAAAGAAGGGAATATATGACCTGTCTTTGATCATGCTTTTTTTCCTAAAATGAAAACATCCTCCAATATGTGATTCTTATAAAAGGTGAGTGTTAAAATTCTAGAATAAACCACATTTAAGCCTAGGGACTCTGTTAAAGTTAATGAAAACATATTGGGCTAGGGAAGCTGTTGCTAGGTTTGGTGGATATTTAATTCTTTTACAAACATCAGAAAAACCTGTCCAGCCTCAATATAGACAAAAGCTGAAATGAGTGCTCAATTAGTAGCAGTTTCTCAGCATTTTGTCCAATTATCTAATAAAGAAAACGAGAACCTCGGTACATAAATTTGCTCCATTATGGAAGCCACCTTCAGTGAGCAAGCCAGTCAGCTTTATTATTCAAATCATCAATGTGATGCTTGTAAGATGAGACAAAGGCAGCTCTTTAATGATAAATATTATAATACAGCCACTTTTCACATATGTCTCCACACACACACATTGTGAACTATTCACTGCAGTATAAACAAAAGAAACCAAGTGACAACTCAGAGAGAAGAAAGTAGGCACAAACCAAAACAGAACGTATTATCCAGTTACTACTCTGACATTATTGCAGCTTTTAGGGAACAGCTGAGTTTAGTCATCAGTCTTCATCATTTGTTCTGTTTTCTTTTACAGACTTTTGCTATAGAACTTTTCACAAAACATACTGGGTAAAAAAAAAATCGGAAATAGATAAAAGTCTAGGAAACAATCCTTCAAATTAGTTCCCTATCTCCCATTAACTGCAGGAAGTGATGCTGCTCTTAGGAGATGCTGTTTTTCAACAGATCATTCAGCAGCAAAGAGGTGGGAATTTTAGGCATCAATAGAATGACTGCCAGATTCACCATAACCTGAGGCTCCAGAAGTGTACAGTGTAAAAGGCCAAAGGCCCAGTCCCAGCTTACAGCACAGAGTGCTAGGACTGAAGTCAAAAGTCAAATCTTTTACAAATGTAAAAGCAGTCAGATATCCTTACAAGTATTAGCATTAGCACCACTCACACATGTGTTTATATTAGTCTCCCTACATTTGGACATTTTTTTCTCTTGAATGCTAAGAATAAGTTGCACACATTCCGGCAGCATTCTTCAGGCAGATTTGAACAAACACCTTCTACAGCACTACCATTACCTCTGCAGACTCCTGGATTCTGCCTTTGATACTTGTCTTGTTCTAAATCTCTTGGATTCATATCCAGTGATACCTCATAGTCCAGACATCATAATAAACATTATGGTAGTCAGATAGTCACTGTCAGTGGCACCCAGTGGAACACCTCCTTATTTGCATATAGCATACAGCTTTTCCAAAGATGCTGGAGATCTACTGTATGCCTAGCTACAGTTCTCCTTACACCAAAAAAAGATCTCCATAAGCAACTTCCAGTAATACTGAGCTAAGTGAGCAACTCAACAAATGTCACAAAAATGGCAAAGGCTCTGGAGATGCTATGTAAATTCTAAATCTCACCAGTCATCGAAGAGCTTCTACTTATTGGAAAGCACTCATTCCACCTAAATAATGCTATTTTACCTTTAGGTATTCAAATAGCATTAGCTAAGCAACTATATCAACAGATTGCTGAATAACATAGTATTTTTTTTTCACTAACAAAAGCCTAATGAACATGACAAACCACTGGGGAAAATGTCCAAATAAGGCCCAATATCTAAATAAGGCCGCTATTTAGGGAGTAAGCCCACACCCTGACAGAATAGATGGGTATGGCCCAGCAGGAGAAAGAGCTATGTGTTTAATCTCAGCTTTTTTCAGATGCTAATGGACTGAGGATTCTACCCTATAACGATGCTAGATATGTTCTTTTTAAATTTACTCCATGAATTTAAACACCTTAAGGACAAATTAAAATACAGAGCAAAAATTCAGAGTTATGGAATGCTCACCACATGTAAATCTCTGACCCATCTTATAGATTTTTCCATAAAGCATGCATCGCATTGTTTGTAAGCTACACTTCTTCTAACTGCATGTGATATTCCTTTGAATGTTGTCAGGTAATTCTATTCCTTAGCAAAGTAGTTGAAATAATGATAGTTACTCACACATGAAGGATTTTCCTCAAGGGCAATCATTTTAACGAGAATTTCTTTTCAAAATTAGCTAATCTGCAGTTCTATTAAAACATTGTGACTCTAGCCCTGCTCTCTTCACCCCAAAAGAAGGAAAGAAAAGACAGATTCCCATTAGAGAAACAGCTTAAAAGGCTAAAAAATCCTGACAAAAATTCTCTAATGTTCTAAAGTTACATAAAGGTACCAACATACATTTGTTCCCTACTATGTACCAACCTAAAATTGTGATTTAATTAATTATCCTCACACTTCTAATATGAACAATTTTTTTTTAAATTTGTAAAGAATGAGCATTTAATGAAGCTTCCTTGAAAAGTCACCCAATTAGAAGAGGACCTGCTACAGATGAATTATTTTTAATCAAATGACAATTGGTAGTCGGTAGTCATAAATAGGTATTCTCTGTTAATAAGAAATATTTTACAAGCAATAATGAATTTCAATCACTTTTTAGTTACAGTTTTGCATTTTAAATTCATTTTCCATGAAATAATGCCTAAATTGGTATACTAATAAACATGGTGAATATCACAGATGAAGACCAACCTAGTAGGCCATTCATCCTCTTCCATATAAGTGTGACCATTTTACCTCTTCTCCCTCTTCTACCAACATAACATTTTGGTTATTTCTAGTAATGTTTAATAATATATATGGAAAGACAACTGTGTGCCAGGATCATTGTCCCTGATTTTACAGATGAGGACACAGAGGCTCGGTGAGGTAGTGGGAACAGACTGGGTTTCTGACCCAGCTCTATGTAATCACAAAGCTTATCCCCTGTCTCCTATCCCCCTTCTCCTATTCCACTCTGACTACATGAGGAATCTTTTAAAAAAAAAATCAATTGGAACTTTAAAGAAAGAGAAGTCATTTGTTGCCAAATATTACATTTCCTTGTGCTTATCTACAGGGAACATCAGAGTCCACCAAACTTTTTTTCAGATCGTTTGCCAACTTAAACCCACCTGAATCCTGTGTAGCAAACAGGTAAGAGCCTGAGCCCAGCCATAAATATATACACTTGCCTGCATATCTTTTGAAATAAATGCTAAGCCGAAATTAATAACTAACATGATAGCACCAGCATAAAAACCTGAGTTTAAAGTGTATCAGGAGATTTCCATACTATGTTAGGCTTTAACCAATTAAAAGCCAGCACAGATATCACAAGATGAAATTGATAATACAGATATGAACATAAACATAAAAGAATATTGTAGACAATATCTGGAGAGGACACTAATTTTAAACGAAGTGAAAAGAATCACAGGCCATATGAATCTGTCAAATACTCTATAGACAGCATGGACTTTAATTTTCCTGATATGATTATAAAAAAGGGAAAAAAATACTACACTGCCTTTCCATTTATTTGGAAAAAGTTTGAAGGAAGGGACATAAGTTTCAAGAGTACGGTAAGTGACGCACGAGGGCCAGTGTGGGAGAAGGGAGACAGGTAGAAAGTGCACTCTGAATGAGGATTCAGGAGTTAGAGTGTGTTGAACAAAGTGGGTGGTGAGGAAGTCTGCCTGCTAAAAAAGTGGAGGAGGCATTTATTATAAGCAAAGGATATGTCAAAATTACCCTTTTTAAATAGATGAATTAATGTTTAAACTCAT